GGTAACTTTGATGCACTTTCATCGAAACCCGACTGCAATTATGTAGCGATTTTGAAATGTTTTCGATGTAATATCCCAAAATAAAGAATATAGTTCTATTTTTTTTATTGAACCCTTATTTAAATTAAATGTTACAAACGTTGGAATTGCACTCAATTTATTCGTTGTCATCTTACCTGTATATATATACATATATATATATATATATATATATATATATATATATATATATATGTGTGTGTGTGTGTGTGTGTGTGTATGTATGTATGTGCGCATGTGTATATATATATATATATATATATATATATATATATATATGAATGAATGAATAAAGGCAAATGTGAATTTTTTTAAGAGCCGCGTTTTAAGTCCTCTGAGGGACTTTTTTCAAGGGGAATGCATTTGCCTTGATAATGTCCCCCAGAGGAAAAAAACGCGTCGGTTAAAATTAGTTTTCATTTTGTCTGTATTCGTGTTGTTCTTTTATAAAAAATACACTATCTGAAATTTCATAAATATATTCATACATATATATATATATATATATATATATATATATATATATATATATATATATATTTTATAAATCCGACATATTTTTAATTTATTTGTGTAAACGTTAGTTTTAAATGAATGCACATATTTGAGCAGATGCTGTTTTTATTAATTATTAAATACCAGTCGGTCACATATATTTGTAACTAGATTTCTCGTCAGATAGAAATAAATAAATGTACTGCTCTGCTTAATAAATAAATACAAAGCAAATTCCCAAATATGAGTATCCATTGTAAAAATAAGTTGCATACAAATATATATATATATATATATATATATATATATATATATATATATATATTATAATATTTTTTTGTTTAAAATATGATTCCTTCGCTACATAAGAGTTCAAAAACGAGAGCCGAAAAATCCAAATCATTTTTAAAATTAAGTTGGATTGTTGTGTTTAGTCCCGTTTCATCTTCAAGCGAAATTTTAGGAATAAGCTATCTCTCGGTTTACGTGTGTTTTTAGGCATGGTCTGTTACAGTATTAGCTATTGTGGGAGTGGCTAGACTATTTTCCTTCGTTAAGTGGTCAGAGAATTAATTCTTATCAATAGATTCATCATTTTCTGAGAGGTTTTGCTAAGGTTGAGTAGGGTATTTCGGCTCTCGTTTTTGAAACATGATAACTCTTATGTAGCGAAGGAATCATATTTTTAAACAAATAATATTATTATAATATAAGCTCTACTTCTGTATGGAGCACTGTCTTCTTAAAAAATAAAAACAAAAATACTAAGGAACCCCGGATTATGCACCCAACGTGTGTTGTTTTCTTTATTTTCTGCATACCTACGCACTTATATATATATATATATATATATATATATATATATATATATATATATATATATATATATATAGTCGGATTGACATGAGTTTGTGACTCTGTGTTTCACGTTCTCGGCAATCGTCAGACAAAGTGATTAATTTTTGAAAATTTGGATTTATTTATGAGCATATATTAATGAGAGAGAAAATTTTCATCGGAACGTGACTTGTACGTATGCAGACATACATACACGCACGTTCATGCACTGCAGGTCACAAAAGCATAAACATATATGAACAGTGTGGGACAGGGTGTATTTCAGTAAGTACAACGCATATATAATATATATAAAAATTGCACACACACATAATTAGATACTGATACACATACTCATTTTACACACACAGATACACTCACACACATACACACGCATATATATATATATATATATATATATATATATATATATATATATATATATATATAATAAAAAGGCTTAAACACTAATATTCCATGGTCTTTTTTATTATATCCTTACTCTATCCTAGACATTGAGTTCTACCTGGATTCTTCCTCTTAGAATTTTTATTCTAAAATGTACATGTATGGGTATTTATATATTTTGCATACGTATGTATATTTACCACTAATATTATCTATCTATCTATCTATCTATCTATATATATATATATATATATATATATATATATATATATATATATATATATATATATATATATACACACACACACAGGAAGGATGAGAATGAATAGAGTACAATTCCAACGTTCGTAACATTTAATTTAAGAGAGGGTTCAATACAAAGCAGAGCCATATTATTTATGTCAAAATCCTTACACAAAATATGAGTATCCATTTAAAAATAACGTTTATATATATATATATATATATATATATATATATATATATTAAAAAATATAATTTTATGGTATGCTATGCTATATATGTGCTTGTTTGTGTATGTGTATGTGTTTTAGCCCAAAGAATGCTGTTAAATTTATATTCTAAAATCTGTTAGACTTACTATTTTGCTAGTAAATGTTTTCAAAGCCTTTGTTTAATAATAGTTTTATCGCCTCATTCATAGATTTTCTATCTGTAGTACATTAAAAAGTCTCGGTCTATTTAAGAATGGCCGCATGCTAATTAAAATAGACAAAGGTTTGGCTTTACGAGTATAAATCAAATGATTTTCGAATGTTACCCACTGAACATGGCGTTTATTCATTTACCTCTCATCTGGAAATTTTATTTGAGGTTTTTATGCCGTATCGCACGAATTCGATTCAAATTTATGATGGCAATCGTTATGTAAAAACTGAAAACGAGGCTTTTGCATTTATTATTCTCTCATGTACCTTTTCCTTTAGGTTATCGTTGAACATGGCTTTCCATTACTTCCTATCTAAAATAGATCTTAGCAATGTTTTTCGCCTTAATATTCTACACAGTTCCTAATCTGCTGTTAATTTACATAATCAGGAAGATAATGGGGGATTTTGTCAGTTACTCTTGGATTTACTTTGTCTTTTGAGGGCCAAATTATCCGGACACATTTTTTATTTAATGTACAAGAAATTGCAAATCTATCTATCTATCTATCTATCTATCTATCTATCTATCTATTCATATCTATCTATATATTTAATCTATCTATCTATCTATCTATCTATCTATCTATCTATCTATCTAGTTTAGTCTATTCGTATATATCTATTAATCTATCCATTTTACTCGATTCATATCTATATATTTTGTCTGTCTATCTATCTATCTATCTATCTATCTATCTATCTATCTATCTTCGTATATCTAGCTATCTATTTATCTATCTATCTAATTAATCTATTCATTTCTATCTATTTTAGTCTATTAATCTATCCATTTTACTCGATATTATCTATCTATATATTTTAGTCTATCTATCTATCTATCTATCTATCTATCTATCTATCTTAGTCTATTCATATCTATCTATATATTTAATCTATCTATCTATCTATCTATCTATCTATCTATCTATCTATCTATCTATCTATCTAGTTTAGTCTATTCGTATCTATCTATTAATCTATCCATTTTACTCGATTCATATCTATATATTTTGTCTATCTATCTATCTATCTATCTATCTATCTATCTATCTATCTATCTATCTTTTCAGTCTGTTCATATCTATGTCTGTCTATCTTCCCATTTTCCTTAAAATTTCTCGTTATGATCTCTCAATATTATTCTCAGCATTCTACTGTAAAACCGCATTGGTCTTTTTTCAAAATCGCCTCTTTAATCTGGTAGGAACAATTCCGTTTTTGTTGTTTGTTTGTTTCTTCCTTTCTTTATTTCTTTTTTTCTCATTTACCTTCTCGAGCACTTTCTTTTTCTGATTTTACTTTTGTTTCGTTCACTCTTTCTTTCTTTCTCGTTTTACTTTCTTCCCTGTTTTCGTTCTTTTTTATTATACCTTCCTCAGTTACTTTTAGTTCTTGTTCTTTCTTTTTTCTTTCTTTTTTCCTTCTTTCTTTCTTATTTACTTTCATCACTTACCCTTCTTCTTTCTTTCTTTCTTTCTTTTTTCTTTCTTTCCTTCTTTCTTTCTTTCTTTCTTTCTTCTCATTATACCATTCCTTTATAAATGCAGCAAACAACGAAACCCTTATTTTGATTAATCGCATTACTTAAAACGATTGCTTCGGTACTTATTTCATAAAGTAAATTGATTAGTGTGTCGTTCACAGCGTTTTTTTAAACCTTGGAAAATGGTTTGAAATCATTAAATTCATATTAATAAAAATTAGAAATGTATTATTATTTATTATGAATTTAATTTAAATTTATTACAAACAAATACAAAATTTCTTTTAAATGCCATGGATTTTCGGCACATATCTTAATGGCGAATGTTCCTCTGAAGATGATGAAGACATTGAATAATTCAGTTGAGAAAGATTGCTGCCATTTTGTATAAATGAAACGAACAAAGTGAAAATATTTTCGTAGAGTTATCTTCAATTTCTCGTTACAAAAACGTAAAAACTGTTTTAGCAATAATTTAAGTGACAGGCAGCTATAAAAAAGACATTATTCGATTATTTATGGCTAATTTGTTTGAATAATAAACTGACTATTGTTTGCGTCACCTGGAAATAATAATAAGTAAAATGATGCGCTAAAATAAGTAAACAAGTAATCGATTTAAGTTCCGCTGCTTTTCTATTCAATGTATTCATTCATTCATTCTTTCTATATTTCTTTCTTATTGTATCTTTTCTTCTTTCGCTTTTCTCTCTTTGTCTTCCTTTTTCCTTCCCCTCTTTATATTCCTCTTTTATGCTTTCTCTTGATCGTTGTCAAGGGATTTCCCAAACAACAAATTGTTGAGGTTCCTCTGCCAACTGGCACTAGTATCGACCATTTTTCTTTCTCTTTCTCCCACAGACAACGGTCTGTCTCGTCACTTTTTTAGCCCAGGGTAACCGATACCAGACCCCCACTACCACAAGCATCCAAACAACTACACACTATGCACCTCCCAATGTGAAGAAAAAAGAAAAAAAAAAGATTTAAAAAAAAAATATCATGAGTTAAACTCTGTAGTCAATCTATTTTTCAGTTTCTTTTCGGCCTTTCTATTTTTATCTTCGATGCAAAATCATTCTTTTTTTATTCTTTCTCTTATTTTCTCTTTATTCTTTCTTTTCTTTTCTGATATATTTCCTCTTTTCTTTATCGCAAAAGTGTCCTGTTTTTTCTTTTTTTTTATCTTTTTTTAAGTAGTATTATTACTGGTTCGCCATTTTTTTTTTTAATTGACGTTTCTTTTGCTAAAGTTTTTTTTTTTTTTTTGCATTTCTTTGTTGAGAGCTACTTCGTATTTATTGGTCTCCATTCCTTGTTTTTGCGTTTTTCTTTATCCCAGATTCTTTCGTTTTCCTTCTTCTGTCATTTATTTTTCTCTCTTTTCATTTCTATTTTTTTTCTTTCTTTTATTTATTGCTCTATCATTGATTTCATTTCTTTTCCGACGTTGCAAATTTTTCATTACTTTAAATCCTTTTTTGTTTTCTTCTTTTCATATTTTTCTTTGGTTTGTTCTTTTGTTTTTTTTTTCGATCTTTTCTTTCTTTCATTCTTTCTTTCTTTCTTTCTTTCTTTCTTTCTTTCTTTCTTTTCAGTTCTTCTTTATTTTCTGCTAAATATTTAACTTTTCCCATCAGTTTTCTCTTTAGTATTTCTTCTTCAACATCATTCTCTTCCTTCTACTCTTCTTTCTTCTTCTTCTTCTTCTTCTTCTTCTTCTTCTTCTCCTTCTTCTTTTTCTTCTTCTTCTTCTTATTATTATTCTTTTAATGAGTTTTTTGTACTTTTTTTTTCTTTTTCATTCTTTTCCTCTTCTACAGCCTTTCACCATGTTCTCTTTCTCTGTGTCTTCCTTCTTCTTCTTCTTCTTCTTCTTCTTCTTCTTCTTCTTCTTCTTCTTCATCATCATCATCATCTTTGTTTTTTTTTCCTCCAACTTCGCAATCATCTTTTTCTCCCGCCATTTCTTCATTTATTCTATATTTTCTTCTTCTGATCGTATTTTTCTTCTTATTATTCTTTTTCACTTTTTTGTTCCAACTTTGCCATCTTCTTTTTCTTCTTCTTTTTCTTCCTCTTCTTCTTTTTCTTTTTCTTCTTCTTCTTCGTTTTATTACTTTTCCTTCCAACTTGTCCATCTTTCTTTTTCTTCTTCTCCATCTTTCTTTTTCTTCTTCTTTTTCTTCTTCTTCTTCTTCTTCTTCTTCACTTTCTTCTTCTCGTTTTCTTCTTCTTCTTCTTCACTTTATTACTTTTTGTTCTAACTTCTCGATCTTTCTTTTCCTTCTTCTCCATCTTTCTTTTTCTTCTTCTTCTTCTTTTTCTTCTTCTTCTTCTCTTTCTTCTCCTTTTCTTCTTCTTCTTCACTTTATTACTTTTTGTTCCAACTTTGCCGTTTTTTTCTTATTATTATTCTTTTTCTTCTCATTTTATTACTTTTCGTTCCAACTTCTTCTTCTTCTTCTTTTTTTTTTTTCTTCTTCTTCTTCTTCTTCTTCTTCTTCTTCTTCTTCTTCTTCTTCCAACTGCTGTTGTTGCTCCTCATTTTCACCCAATTCTCTTCCCTTTCTTTTCTCATTTATTTTGCAATTTTGTCATTCTTTTAGTCTCTAACGGAACCAAATCCACTACCAAAGAAGCAGTAACAAAAAAAGCAACAACAGCCTAGCGAAAATTCCCCAGACCCAAACAAAAATACAGATAGACGCAAAAACATCACGCAACATAATAAGTAAGAAAATACACAACAGACTTTCCTGTTCCCAAAAAGCGCCATTTTTTACCTCCCCAGTAGAAAAAAATAAACCGCTTTTAAAGAAAAGTTCAGAGAGAGAGAGAGAGAGAGAGGGGAGAGAGACAGAGAGAGAGAGAGTGGGGGGAGGGAGAGTGGAGGCGGGAGGGGAAATAGCTGAGGTAACGACTTTAGTTCTTCAACAATGACCATTTTTAAGACTTGGCACTTACATGACAAGTTATCGCATGGTAGCGGAATATAAATCCCTCTCGAAGAGATTCTCAACTTTTCTTTTCCATGCGATAATGGCTTAGTGGTAACAGTCTGTTGATTACGTGAGACAAAGTCAGCATTTCAATGTATTGCTGATTTCAACACAATAAAGAATAGTATAGTGTCTCACACAGGAGAACTAAATTTGGTACTTGTAAAATCTGCAATGGACAGTAAAAGCAAATATCCTTTCCAAAAATTAATCTTTAACAAGCCACTTTAATTTTCAAAAATTTAAATTCAATGCCAGTAGCTTGCGCTACTGTCATTTTAATTATTCTTCATTTGTTTAAAGTATTTAGTAATGTTTCTGTTTCTCATTTTCCACATCCAGTAAACACTTGTGTCGTAGTGGCTTTATAGCCTTCTTTGGGTGAACTCGACTAAAAAACAAGTGAAGATTATTTTTATTGTGTCTGTTTTTTATTCCAATCAGCTTCTTTTTCTTTCTTTCTTTCTTTCTTTCTTTCTTTCTTTCTTTCTGTTCCAATTCTTTCTTTCTTTCTTTCTGTTCCAATTCTTTCTTTCTTTCTTTCTTTCTTTCTTTCTTTCTTTCTTTCTTTCTTTCTTTCTGTTCCAATTCTTTCTTTCTTTCTTTCTGTTCCAATTCTTTCTTTCTTTCTTTCTTTCTTTTCTTTCTTTCTGTTCCAATGTTTCAATTTTTCTTTCTTTCTTTTTTCTTTCTTTCTTTCTTTCTTTCTTTTTCGTTTGTTTCATTCTTCTTTCCCTTATTATTTCTCTTTCTCTTTCTCACTTTCTTTTTCTTTCTTTCTTAGTTTGTTTCCTTCTTGCTTGACTTATTTTTTCTTTTTCTCTCACAGTTTTTCTTTCTTTCTTTCTTTCTTTCTTTCTTTCTTTCTTTCTTTCTTTCTTTCTTTCTTTCTTTCTGTGCCTTTTTCTGCTTATTTGACCTGTATTGCAAATTTGCATTTCCTTCCTTCCTTCCTTCCTTCCTAAATCCTTTTCATTCTTACAAATTTGCGTTTTTCTTCTTTCTTTCTTTCTTTCTTTCTTTCTTAGTGGCTTTTTTTTCTGCTTATTTTTATTTCTTTGCAAATTTACATTTTCGTTTTTTTTATTCTCCTTTCTTTCCTCCCTTTCTTTAGTTCTCTCTTTCTTTCTTTCGTTTCTTTTCTTTCTTTCTTTTCTTTTCCGCAAATTTGAGTTTTTCATTCTTTCTTTCTTTCTATTTTCATTCATTTCTTTCTTTCTTTTTTCTTTCTTTCTTTCTTTCTTTCTTCCTTTCTTTTTTTTTCTTTATTTTCTTGAGACTTTTCCCGTTTTCTGCTTCTTTTTCTTATAGTGCAAATTGCATTTTGCTGTTTCTTTCTTTCTTTTTTATTTCAGGTTCAAATCTTTTTCTTTCTTCACGTCTTAAATTTTTCTTCTCACAAATGTTTCTCACCTTTTTCTTTCTTTTTAAATGTTTTCGATTTATTCGTAAAGAGATTTTTTTTCCTTCAAACTCATTCTTCGTTTCCCCGACAGTTCTATTTTTTTATCGGAATTACGATGTTTTATTAGTTTTTCCCGTTTATTTATAATTGTAATTACGTCAATTACTCCGCCATTTTGTTTCCTTTCGTTCACTTCGTCCATCTTTTCTTTTCTATATCCGTGCCTTTAATATTACTTGCTTCTTTTTCAGTCTTCATTGTCTTAATAAAAATGATAAAAGTTGCTAACATTTTCCTTCTAGCTCTTCTTCTTCTTCTTCTCTCCTTCTTCTTCTTCTTCTTCTTCTTCTTCTTCTTCTTCTTCTTCTTTTTTTCTTCTTCTTCTTCTCTTCTTCTTCTTCTTTCTTTCTTTTATCATTTCCATTTTTTTCTTAACGTCTTCATCTTATTTCTTTCAAACATATATGTTATTCATTTCGGCACACTTCGACGGCCTGTAATGGTCAACAATCTCGTTTCAGTTAATCAGTGCCATACGTGATACACGCTTAGGCAATCATGTATCTTTCGATACATGACTGACAAGGTAGATATTTTTCCTGCAGAAGGTTGCCATTTCTTTCTGCTGTAGACCAGTTGCCATCAAAGTCTATAGAAATCGGTCTGTCCTGCTATTTACCCATAGATGGGGGAAGAAAAGAAGAGGATTCATACCTTGCCCAAGGGTATTAGTACGTAAGTGAATGTAAACTGGAAAGTCAATCAGTTATGTGCAATATGTGTTACGCGCTTAGGCGATCATGTATCTTTCGATATTGACTGACGAAGCAAATGTTTCTCGCATTAAGGTTTCTATTTCTTTCGGCGGTAAGCCAGTTGCCATCCAAGGCTATAAAACTCAGTCTGTTCTACTACTTACTCATAGTTGGAAGGAGAAGAAGAGGATTCATACACGCTTAGGCAATCATGTATCTTTCGATACATGATTGTCGAGGCAGATTTTTTCTCGCAGAATGTTGCCATTTCTTTCTGCGGTACATCAGTTGCCACCCAAGGCTATAGAACCCAGTCTGTCCTGCTACTTACCCATAGCTGGAGCGAGAAGAAGTGGATTCATAGCTTTACCAAGGGTATTAGCATGTGAGTGAATGTAATGGATTCGACAGGAATTCGAACTCGTCTCTCTGATTCCTCAACCCGAGCTGCTAATGAACGGTGAGTCCGATCCTCACTGGATACTCCATATTTTCAGCCTTGCGTCATATCTAAACGTAGCTTAGGAAATCAACATATACATCAGTAATTCATAGCCGCAAAATTCGTCTATTTCCTTTCACAAATCACCCACACTCATTAATGTACCCGGTGCAGCAAATGTAACGAAAATTTTTATTTATTAAATATTATTTAATAATAATGAATTCCAGTAATTTAAGAAAATTTATGTGTACTCTCCAAACATTTATGGCTGTTTTCAGATTTATGATTTTTGCAAGGCAACTCAGCTTATTTGCAAGTACAATGTGCTTTTATATAGTTTTTCAGATAATAAAAATCACTGGATCACATGTGATGCAGCGAACTTACAAATCACAAGTTATTCATACCCTTGTGCAAGTTAACTGAAACAAAACGAATTCCGTTATTATTTATTTTTTCATATTTTTCCAATATGACCCAGTGCACATGTTAGTACTTCGTATGTCCCTTCAACGAAGTTGTTCCTTGCAGACTGACCACAGATTCTCGATTGGATTTAAATCAGAAGAGTTTCCGGGCCACTCTATAGTAAATGATTTGCTCACTGGTAAGGCTTGCCAGAGTGTCCGTGCGGTATTACAATTTTCGTACGCTTCCTTGGAGTAACGTCTATCGAAGACAACAGCTTTAGAACAACTAATCGACAGTCGAGACAATAGTGTCTGGGCGTGATTAAATTCTGATGCAATTACAGATGAGGAAATATTTTTCAAGGTCAAAAAAAATTTCATCATACACCCCGAAATTAGATTCATATTGCTGCACACCACTGAAAATGAACTAATCCAAAGAAAATAAATATAAGTCGATTACACCCTGCCAGTCCAGTGCGTGTAAAATTGACACTACGTTGAAAGAAAGGAAACTAAAGCGTTTGTTCCAATTAATTTGCACAAGGGTGTACATTACATTATTTACACATCACAGATGGACATGGAAAAATACAGAAATAAGATTTTTTTTCAGGCATGCTATTTAATGACCTGCTGATTCAAAATCCATAAAGTTCCCAAAAGTTGCTAGTGAAGTAAATGTTCGGGTACCCAAAATCCAATGGAGCCGCCTGTATTGAGACGACACATAAAATTTTAATCACAAATCTGTTTTATAATATATCTTTGTGTAATACCTCTTTTCCAACTAATTTGAGGACGAGAAATACAATTGTGACCTTATTTTTAAGATATAAGGACAACCTGACCCAAAAAGCAGGTTAAAATTCAAAAATTTATTCCTAATAATTGTGACTCCCTGCAGTGTGAGTGCTATAAAGCTTGATGAAGCTAGAATGGTTCATTAGATTCTTTTGAATCCGTTATCCTTACCTTAGAGTCTTCTTACAGAGTGTCTGACTTTCCAGGTGTCCCAGATTGTCGAGGATCTACAAGAGGAACTATCTCTATCCTGTAAAACAGGGAAGCTCTGCATACGAATAGATTCCCCGTTGACGATAATGAAGATGAATAATTTGGAATGACAGTACAACCACATGCACAGAATGAAACTATTTGCACAATTTTCTAGCACTCATGAAACTCAAATTAAACAAGATTGCAGTATAGCAACTGTTTGTTCAGATTCATCAGACACCGTAACAGATTGTCTTAAGATATTCATTCTACCCATAGTAAAATGGCGCATTCTCAATACTGTTTAGGTCAGTAATCTATATTTTTTTAGGTCATGTTGTCCTTAAATCTTAAAAATAAGATCATAATTGGATTTCTCATCATCAAATTAGATGGAAAAGAGGTATATAACAGGTTTGGGGGCTGAATGATTAAAAGGTTATACTTATCACCTGAATTTTGGGCGTACGAACATTTCTCTCCCTAGGGACTTTTGGGGACTTAGAGTTTTAATCAGTAGACTATAATCCTGCCTGAAAAAAAGTCAACTTTCTATATTTATTTTCCATGTTTCTGCATTAATTTTGCTAATGCTCCCGGTCTGTATGTGAAGCAATTTTTTCTGAGCGCATTCTGTTTGCCAAATAAGTTGCCTTACAGTAGTTATACATCTGAATACAGGCAAGCGTTCTGTTGTCATATATGATGCAAAAAAAATTAGATTAGGCCTTTCCTCAGACGTTCTCCTCCACAGAAGATACTTACTTAAGCGTCCTCAGTGTTACTACTCTTAAAATCATGGCCGTGTGCACCACATATGAAGTACGGACGCTGAAATCACATGTCCTGTAAATCATATATGATGCGCAGGACAGGCAAAGGGTTGCCAGTCTGAAAATGTTTCCCTTCTTGATCAATACAAGGCTGAAGCTTATCAGCAAACCAACTATGAACCATTTGACACAAATTTCACAAATTTCAGAAAATGTATCTGTTTTAGCATACCTACAGACGATAAGGGGTATTTCCCCATTCACATAAATACAGTAGTATATACTGTATGTTGGTCTGCAGTTGGCCATACGAGGTTATGTCCAAGGGCAGAGTCTAGTCTAAGGAAACAGCTACCCGAACCCGTTTTAGATAGGGTCTACGGGGAATTTTTGGCCGAGCTTATGGGCTCGGATACCCCACATTATATTCGGCCTTGTGCCACATCTGACCGCGTGGGGCGGTTGGTAGATATCCTGCAGTTTGAGATTCATTGTGGAATTCACTTGATAATAATGGTTTTAGTGATACAAGTTTTAATAGCAGATGAGGTGGATTCGTGCCTTTCCCAAGGGTATTCATGCGTAAGTGAATATAACAAACCTAACTGGAATTAGAACTTGGCCCCGCGATTAACAATCCAGAGCCATTATCCATAACACCACCTGCATATCTAAGTTTACAGCACCTTAAAGCACCTAAGCGCTATCTCATCTGGGTACTGACCAGATTTGAGGTTGCTTAACGTCGGTGATCGTACGGGAATCGGTGTTTCAACATTATGTGTCCGTAAGCCCATTATATCACCCCCATATCCAAGCTTACAGCATGTGGTATTCCGCAGCGGTCACCCATCTAGTTACTGACCTTGTTCGACGTTGCTTAACTTCGGTGGCAGTACGGGAAATGGGTTTTCAATGTGATATGGCAGTAAGCCCATTATATTACCCCCCATATCCAAGCTTACAGCATCTGGTATTCCCAAGCGGTCACCCATCTAGTTCCTGACCTTGTTCGACGTTGCTTAACTTCGGTGGAAGTACGGGAAATGGTTTTTCAATGTGATATGGCAGTAAGCCCATTATATCACCGCCATATCCAAACTTACAGCATCTGGTATTCTCCAGCGGTCATCCATCTAGTTACTGACCTTGTTCGACGTTGCTTAACTTCGGTGGCAGTACGGGAAATGGTTTTTCAATGTGATATGGCAGTAAGCCCATTATATCACCGGCATGTCCAAGCTTACAGCATCTGGTATTCTTAAGCGGTCACCCATATAGTTACTGATCAGGCTCGGCAGGTTTATATTAGAATAATAAATGCTAGAAATTGGTAGGTTTTGTACCCGACATTGCGGGAATCTACCCGGAAGCTCCCACAACCATTTTTTTTGTATGTCTCTTACCCCTCCTCCCCTGTAGGACATGCAGGCGACTTATTCTGAACTCGCAGACTATCAAAAGTATTTTTTTTAAAGACTGGAATCTTCTTTTTTATTTTCTAACGGGAAGCAAAAATATTTTTGTTCTTATTTCCACAACTGGCGTTTGGTTCATTTGTTTAGCGGCATATCAACACCTATATGGGCTATTTAATGCCGAAATCTAAATATTTTGAATTTTATGGTTTCATTTAATATATTTTGAACACAACTGCATGCCTTCCCCTACAGATAAAGTGTATTGCTAATCATTGTACTACAGTGTAACCCGGATATAAGAGACCCGGATATAAGAGAAACCCGGATATAAGAGAGATTTCTCTGGTCCCAAATTAGAGCCTGTGTTAATGTATATAAAATAGGACAAACCCGGATATAAGTGAAACCCGGATATAAGAGAAACCCGGATCTAAGAGACTTCTTCTCCGGTCCCGACAACTCTCTTATATCCGGGTTACACTATATATATATATATATATATATATATATATATATAGTGCAACCTGGATATAAGAGAAACCCGGATATAAGAGGATTTTCTCTGGTCCCAAATTAGAGCCTGTGTTAATGTATATAAAATAGACCAAACCCGGATATAAAAGAAACCCGGATATAAGAGACTTCTTCTCGGTCCCGACAACTCTCTTATATCCGGGTTACACTATATATATATATATATATATATATATATATATATATATATATATATATACATATGTATATATATCCGGGTTTCTCTTATATCTATCCGGGTCTCTTATATCCGTGTTGCACTGTATATATATATATATATATATATATATATATATATATATATATATATATATATACAACAACCTGATATAAGAGACCCGGACAGTGCAACCTGGATATAAGAGACCCGGATATAAGAGAAACCCGGATATTAGAGGGATTTTCTCTGGTCCCAAATGTAATGCTGTTATTTTTATTAAAAAAAAAAGTATTTTTTAAAAGTTTCATAGTGTATTGTTTTTGTTTGAAGCTTCATTATTTGCCCATTGCTGGAACCCTAACAGGTGCTACCTCCTCCGGTCAGGATGGACCTGAGAATAACAGAAGTTAAGAGGTGGTCCCAAGCACCGAAAAACTTCCAATCTCTGAATCAAAAGCATTGCTGCCGGGCGCAGTTTATCGTCATTCCCAGGATTTCCGCAAGTCCCGTGCTCCACGTTGAAAGAAAAGGCAGTTATTTGCATGAAAACATCCCACTAATTCGACGAGGTTACGGAATAAAGTAACATTATTAATTAATATTAATTTCAGGGTTTTCCTATTTTAGTATACAGATTAATTTTAATTCTTAAGTTAAGGGTTTAATCCACGGAAATTCTCCTATCATATCGTTGGATATTTGAGCTTAACAGTATTAAGAAAATATTGAAATAACAATCATAATAAGAATGCTGGTCGTTATTTAAAGAAGTAAGGGGATACAAATGAAAAGATTTGAAACTGATAACATTTCACTGAAACAGACATTAGATACTTCTGTCTTCATTTCTTTCTTCCATTTTCTCACTGAAACCAAGTAGTGTCTTTTTGCCTCTTTCCACGGAATCAAAACGGAATTGTATATTATTTATGAGGTATTGGCATGTCTTACAGTCATTCTTTTTTCTTTTTCTTTCTTTTTCTTTCTTTCCTTCTTTTTCTTTCTTTCTTTCTTTCTTTCTTTCTTTCTTTCTTTCTTTTTTTTTCATCTTCTCACTGAAACCAAACAGTATCTTTCACTCTCTTTCCACGCGATTAAAATGGTATAGTCTTTTACCTTTAGGTATTGGCAGGAGATACTAAATTCGTCCTTCCTTCCTTCCTTCCTTCCTTCCTTCCTTCCTTCCTTCCTTCCTTCCTTCCTTCCTTCCTTCCTTTTCCTTCTTCCTTTTTCACTGAAGCCAAGTAGTATATTTTCCTCTCTTTCCACTCCATCAAAACGGAACAGTCCATTATCTTTTAGGTATAGTCAGGGTGTAATATCATGCGAACTACAGGCATAATTATGATAGGATTCTGCCAAGATTTAGTGTCCCACTGGGTAGATTACAAGACATTCTTTGTCTTCAAATTCTACCTGCCTCTATGCCATTTCTAATATCCAGTTGCCAGAGCTCGTACAACTTATCTCTTCGCGTGTTGATCTCTCTTTGGCTACCTTCCGGTGATTCTGTACTGAAGATCCCAATCATGGTTTGCTTATGAGAGTGAAGATGATACAACTCATCTTTCTGATAAAGGTCTCTTATAATATATGTTTTCAACTTTCTAATTCTTTTATGATATGATTTACTTTATTCAATTTATTTCCGTTTTCACGAGTCTTTTTTTATTTCTCTCTTGAGAATCCATTTTCATCTTTTTATATTCTCATCGACATCATTTCTCCGTTCTTTCTTGCCTTTTAATCGGCTTACTAGCACAGTGATGGCCGCCAACTGATAACTGCAGAGTGAAAAATTGGGTTGTAAATTAAAATAATAATAATGATATTAATAATATTGATACTGCAATTAGATTGGAAGCCTACCTCACAAAAAACAATGACCTTCTCTTACAAATAGTAAAACACCAAATCCACTTTATCAACAAAGAAACTGCGCTTTTCAAGAAACATCTTAATATACCTGAATCCCTATGAAAAAAAAAACCCTGAAAGGTACCATCTAGATACCATCTACACCAAACGAGTAAAACAGAAAGAAACATAACTTGGTCAAATGAAATGACAAAAAATTTAAAAAACAAATCAAAACATGGGAGGACAAGATGTTGTATGGCAAAAGAACGAAAGAAGCAGATGTGAACCAACAGAAAACACATCAGTGTCTGAGGAGAATCGTGCTGAAAACTGAAGCAGAAGACATAATTATTGAAGATCAGGACAAAAGCCTCGCAATAAGATCCTCTCACTGGCACATAATCAAGGATCGAACTAACCCGAAATGCAGGATCTGTGAAAAATATTCTCTCAGAATGTCTGGAACTAACAAAAATTGAATATACCAACAGACTTAAAAAGGTAGAGACATACGTGGACTGGAAGATATGCAAGAAGCACAAAATCGAAACCACTGAGAGATGGTATGAGAACCAAGCAGACACACTTGCCCAAAATAACGATGTAACTATCCTCCGGGACATGGCAATTTAAACTGATAGGGAAATAAAAGCCAACAGACCTGATATTATCATAAAAGACAAGAGATTCAAGAAGTCTATGCTTAGTGACATAGCAGTACGATCTAAGAGAAACACCGCCATGAAAATTATCGAGAAATTGTCCAAATACAGGATCTGGAGATCGAGATTAACTGGATGTGGGAAATGAAGACTGAGACTGTACCAATAGTAATCGGAGCACTGGGCCTCGCGAGAAAAAGAATGGACAATTTTACTAAAAGTGTCCCAGGTAACATCAACATACAAGTTGTCCAGATCACCCTGTTATTATATATCTCGTGTGACATGCAAGTTCCTTTTCTGAGAGACCAAATTACAATAGACTGACCGCTTTTCCTCTATCGCTTTATCCTGTCTTCTAGTTAAATAAGTTAAAAAAGAGAATGATCGTTAGTAACGCTATACTCGTTGCGTAAACACGTACAGCCATAAACAGCCAAACGAGAAACAGCTAAACATCTTATAAACGTAAACAATAGAAAAGTTGTACGAGGGTCATTCAATAAATAAGGTGAATTTTTCGGTATAAGGACTTCTAATACAGATAGAAGCTTACTTTTTTTTATTTTTTTGTTTTACTTCTTTTTCACATGGATTTAATTTCTTTTGCAGATTAAAAAAAAAAAAAAACTTTGAGAGTTTTGGCAATTAACAAAGATGGCCGACCAAGAAACATGCTCCAGGACTGAATAGCGGTCAGTTATCAAGTTTTTGGTTACTGAAGGGTGCAAACCAGTTGAAATTCATAGGAGAATGTCAACTGTGTATGGTGCCACATGTTTCAGCCAAAAAAAATGTTTACAAGTGGGCTAAATTGTTTAAAGAAGGATGGAGTAGTGTTGAGGATGAAGACAGGCCTGGAAGGCCTACAGAAGTGAGGTCTCCTGAGGTGATCGAAGCAGTCATTCAGTCTGACAGGAGAACTACTGTGAACTGCTGAGGCAGGTCAAGAAAGACATAAAGAACAAACGCAAGGGTCATCAGTCAGAAGGAGTGACCATGCATCATGACAACGCAAGGCCTCACACAGCAGCCCAAACGGTTCAGACCATCAACGAGCTGGGCTGGGAACTGCTCCCTCATCCCCCTTACAGCCCAGACTTTGCCCCTTCAGACTTTCACCTGTTTGGTCCCTTGAAAACGTTCACAAGAGGCGCGAAGTTTAAAAGTGACGATGAAGTCAAAAGTGTTGTGAGCGACTGGCTGAGACATCAGTCCAAAGTTTTTTACGCTGAGGGAATACGGAAGCTTGTGCACAGATGGGAAAAGTGTGTGACAGTGCTGGGAGACTACGTTGGAAAAAAAAAGAAAAAAGAAAAAAGTAAGCTTCTATCTGTATTAGAAGTCCTTATACCGAAAAATTCACCTTATTTATTGAATGACCATCGTATATTCGCTGTTTGTATTTTATAAGGCGATACAAATATGTGAATATTACATGTATTATTATTGGATAGAGTTAAGTAAAACATCAGTTTATTAAGAATCATGTTTATTTTAAATCCAGCTGTACATTTTGACTACAATAAACGCATATATAATTTGGTCAACGGCGTAACCAAGGCCAGCAGTACATATGCTAATTTTATATCACGTGTATAATGCGACCCTCTTAAAATTAGCTTCAAAATTAGGTTTTCAAAAGTCGCATAATACACGAGTATATACGGTAGCTATACTTTTTTTTCTCAATTGGAGTAGATATGTTCGCTTATCGCCTGGTTCACACTCCTCCCTGATATTTTTAACAGGAGTAGATTTTTATCCCTTGTTCCCTGTTTAAAATTGAACTTCCAGTTCCTTCTAAAGTATATTTCAACTCTTCTAACGTCTTCGCCTAAAATTTAAATAATATATACTATTTAATTTTTTTTCTCCTTAAGTGGAGTAGATAATTTCGCCTATCTCCACGTTCACACATCTTTTCCTTTTTTTTTAATCATTTCATACCCAGACAAGGCGGTAATGCCACTAGTACGCACGGTGTTACAGGAATTGGGCATAAAATATTAAGAATAAGGCGGATTAAGGAAAGGACAGGAGATGAACGGGATTCAAGAAGATAGACGATGACCATTGAAGATTGTAGTTATCAGGGAAGCAAGTAAACGGAAGGGAGTTCCACAAGCGGGAAGTGCGTCAATAGAAACTGTTGATGTTTGTTTGCTTCGTTCTTCTTTACGGCATATCAACCTCAGTGGCTGATTTAATGCCGATAATTATATATATATATATATATATATATATATATTATATATATATATATGTATAATTATATATATATATATATATATATATACATACATATATATATATAATTATATATATATATATATATGTATGTATATGTATATATATAGATATATACATACATTATATATATATATATACATACATTATATATATATAATTATATATATATATACATATGCATACATTATATATATATATATATATATATAATTATCTATATATATATTATATATATATATATAATTATATATATATATATAATGTATGTACATATATATATATATAATTATATATATATATAATGTATTTCCCCTTGAAAAAACTTACCACTGGTAATAATTTTTTACAAAGTATTTCTAGGATTAAAAGACATTTTACACCATCATATTGCCCTGAGCCCATAACTGGGGCCCCAACATGTGCCACCACCCCGAGTTAGGGTGAACCCGGGAACACCAGCAATTGAGAGATAGTTCCAGGCTCCCCAAAAACCTCCCGATCAGAGGCCCTACAGTTGGACGTAATTTATCGTTTTACCCAGGATCCGGATGCAGTTTATTGTTTGACCCAGGACGCGGATGCATTTTATCATCATACCCAGGACTGATGATGTCTCAGTTGCAGTTGCATTTAGCTATATCAACAGTAAAAACGTTCCCCATAGATGCCAATCTAGTAGCACGTTTAAATTCACATAGTCGGGCCACCAGGGAAAAAAAAAGCCCGCCAGAGAAATTGCCATGAAAATATTTGTAGAAAAGACAGGGGGAAGTTACTGTTTGAACAGACGTAGTGGTTTATCCCTTGTTCCCTGTTTAGGATTCAGTTTCAGATTCATTATAATATCTACGTTGTCTCTGTACGTTTAACGTCTACGCCCGGTATTTATTTACTAATTATTTTTTTCTCTTTCTCCTCAATAGGTGTAGATCGGTTTACCTATCATTCGGTACACATTCCTCCCTGGTTTTTGAACAGGAGTAGAGGTTTATTCCTTGTTCCTAAAATTGAAGTTCTTGTTCCTTCTAAAGTCTTTTCGTTCTCTTTCACTTTCAGTAGCCCCCTTGCGTCTTAGTGCCTTTATCGCCTTGTTTGAAGTGAATTAATTAAAAAAGAATAAATGATAATACCAGCCCTATGAAAAGGTGACTCACCTGATCAGTGATTGTATAATGTTAGCTTTAAAGATATATGTATACATTTATGTACTGTCGTTATTGAGTCGAATGTATGAATACTACATTCGAGAAAATTCGTTTGGTCTCGTTTGGTTTGTTTTGTTTT